CGCTCAGTCTGTTAGCTTGTGAGAGGGGCCAATCTATTGTGAGCAAGGGGAAGTCGTAGGGGAAAAATAGCCTTTCCCACCCCAAAAACAGATGGGCTACAGTAGTTTCCAGAAAACAATATGAGGTTGGACAAGACTAATCTTGTGTCTAATAAATATGTCATCTCTTACTCTTCATAAGAGGCAGACACATATCTGAGGAGTACAGGTCTCTCCAATTGTGCACCTTGTCTTTTGGTTTTAAAGCGAACATCCCAAAGTGCTGAGTAGATTGCGTGACACTCACTCAGAGTGGCTCCCCAAAATGAAAGACTGACCTAACTCTCCTGGAATTTGAACTTGTGACTCCCTGAAGTAAAAAGATATCAAAGTTGATTCTGAGACATCTAAATCATCCTCCACAGTTTCACATGCAACCGGCCAACCCAGCAAAAGACCTATAGCATATAGTTTGAACAAGTGAAGAGCTCATGTCTGGGCCATCTCAATCACACTGCTCTTTTCTCCCTGTTTTGCCCTTTTAGGGAGAAGGTCAATGTCAAGTTAGTACTTTATACTGTACAATAGGCTGCTAATATTCCATGCTGGACTGTGTTTCCCCAGTATTTTTTATAGGATGCTGGGCTTTTCCTAGACTTTATGTCACACAATACTTAACTTGTTTGGAGTGGGTGGAGATGGAAATATAGTCTATTGAAACTATTACTGCTTCCTCCCCAGAATTTAAAGAGCCTATTATCATTCTTCTTTAAGATTCTGTCTCTTAGGCAAAATCTCATAAAGACAGGGAAGAAGAAAGAAGCAGTTATGATATCCAGCAGGGAGTTCACTTTTGCGAACTGAATACTGTGCTATGAGACCTCTATAAATAACCATACAAATAGGGTCCAAATGACACTAGTGGTAAGGAAGGACACCCACCCTCCTAAGTTCAAGTCTTCTACCCCCAAGGCATTTGCTTTCTCTTTAAACGGGCATCTGCCACTGGCTGGCATCATGGGTCCCTCATGACATCTCTCACTTGCTATTGGAAAGAGATTTTGATGCTGGGGTATCAGGTATTGTTTTACCTCTTGGGAAGGTAGTTAGCAGAGTGGCCAATCAGCTCCAGAGTCAGAAGGAACTGGAGCAAATCCCAACCACTATCCCATCTTCACTATAAGAAATTAGGCAAGTTTTCTACCCTACTGAAGCTTCAGAGTCCTTAAAAGTCAAATGGTCAAGCTACTAGTACCTATCCCTAAGATTTAAATCAGAAAACATATACAATGAATACGCATGATTTAATCCTCATCACATAGTAAATATTCAAGTAATGGGTACTATTATTACTTCAGTTATAGGTATATCATCTTGTTCCTATGTAACTTCAAGCACATCACTAACTCTTAGCAAGCCTCAGCTTGGATGTGGGATTGATGTGAATAATATCACCTCACCAAGTGGGTGGGAGAAGCCAAAGTATTCAGTCAACTGTGAAGCCTCTTCAGATGCTGGGCAAGATTACTATTATTGTCATTGTTATTAGCCTTCAGTGATCTTCTTCATCTAAAAGGCTGTGGAAACCTTTTCAGAGGAACGTTTGGAGCAAGAATAAGAACCAAGAGGGAACAGGAGAAAGTGAACAGGCTCTTCAGGGCATATGTACATAATGTGTAATAACAGTACTTTGCAAATTAATCCCTTCCCCAGTTTATTCCCTAATGAGTTGGATAACCTCTCCATCAGAAGGACAAATTTCTTCAACCAACTCCAGTGAACTGGAAGACCAACATTAAAAAAAAATAACAATCTTACCTTCCCTGGTGTCAAAAGGAAACACTATTTACTCACTACTGTTTTCCTTTCAAAAATCTGTCTAGTTGCATACTAGAAACAGTTTCAGCTGGTTTGTTTGTCTTGGACAAGCTGTTGAAGTGAAAAGTTTTTGCTTGGCTGAATGTGGGACAGTTTCATAACCCTTGAAGAAGTGCACTGAAGATGGTGCCAGCTCTGAGGCCCGCAGCTTCTAATGTACCTCCATTTGTCGCCCATTGTCAAGGGTGGCTGGAGTAATTAAATTAAGACAATGAGCAAAGCAACAGATGCAACTGAGACCAAGTCCCTGAGTGCTTTTGTTTTGTCACTGTTATTGTCTGCAACAAAGAAGTCACATGTGAGAGCCTGGGAAGTGAGCCAAATGCAAACCAGAAGACATTCCAGCTGGTTTTGAATGGCCTCCACTTAACGTGTGCGCATGAGAACCATGCTTCTTGGAGTAGCCATGGGTGAGTTTCAGCCCATACCTCTGCTGTGATGCTAAAATAGAAAGAGACAGAAGATACCTCTGCTCAACTTTACCTTCTGTTAAAAAAAAAAAAAAAGAATCAGAAGATAAACATCTATATGATTGGTCAATCTAACTGCAATTATTTTTCTACAGCCTTCATAAATTTGAAAAATGAAGCCCAGAAGATGCTCGAATGATTTCTTCTACAAGTCTGTAATTGATTCAGCTAGAGAGGAAAACTGGTGATTAGACAGCTCATGAGGCTTTCTTTGCATTGTTACTGTTTCATTCTTGAGCATTTTCTTAATTTGAGGATTTCAGATTCTTAAAAATCTTTTTTTTTTCCCTAAGCTAGGATGCTTAGGAAAAAGTATAAAAGACAAAACTCAAATTAGTGTATTTTGCTTCCTGATAGTTATATCAGTTAGTAGTTTGACAGGAAGTAGTATCTCTAATTAAAGCTATTTGGGGACTTTGACGAGCCCCATACCATCAGGAGATCCACACAGAAGTGTTTTGAGGACCTTGGGAGCATTAGTAATTCTACTGTGTGGTCCCATGCATCTTTCTTTCATTTTTCTAGAAAACTACTGGAAGAAAGCAAAGGATACAAGACTAGGAATACAAGTTTACTGGTAGATGCTTTGCACAGCAACAAATGCATGTTAAATGGACTTGGTAAATGCTATATGCTATTTGAGGGAAAATGCCAGGATTTTAAACAAATGGCATTTGTAGCTACTCTATAAGTGCCCAGTTTCTTCTCAATACCATTTTTTTTGTAATGGCCACTGAGTTCATTATCTTCATACATGTATTTAAACAACAATGCCTCCTTCCTTCCATTTCATCAAAACAGAATATAGTTCTATCTGCTTTTCATGACAGACTCAGTAGTAAAACTCTCCTGTCTCAGGTAGAACTGAACAACATGTTTAAGAAATATTGCCAAATCTCTATGAATCTTGGCAAGTAGGTATTACTTCCAAGGAATGGCAGGTGGTTTCTCCCCAGATTCAGTATTAAATCTGCTCACCCACTCCAGGTCTCAGGTCTGACACTCCTAACGTCATCATGATTGAGTGGGTGTTCATTACCTTTGCCACAGGAAAAGCTTAGAGATTCCAGACATCATGGGAGAAGTATTGGTTTTGGTCTTGATGGAAATGTGTTGTAAGGATAAAGGGATACCTCCTTCTGTACCAATAGTTGTCCATTACATCCTTTGCCAAGAGGTAAAACCAAGCAAAGAAGTACTGTCAGTGTGTACATGTAAAAGCCATTTTCTTCTCAGTTTTATTTCAAACTCATACTCATTTATCTAACTACTTTGCTATTTAAATATATTCAAGACTAAAATAAAAACTATAAGAAAAGTACAATGACTTGGTTCTATGCATCATGAGGGGGTCCCTCAGACTCGTTCATTCATTTTAATTTGTCCCACAGGTATTTATTAAGCATCCCAGTCACTGTTCTGGGCACTGGAGCTGTAACAGAGAACAGACAGACAAGTTTCTGCCCTTGTAGGGTTTCTATTCAAAACAAAACTCAGTATTTTTATAATAATACCCTAGATTGTTGAGTGAATGGTAGCACCAAAGCCATGAATTCAAGATTTTTGGCCTTGGAATTGGTACTTTCCAGTAAAGATGACATAAGAGCAGAAACGAGTAAATAATAATAATAACAGTAATACTTGTGTTATCATGTGTCAGTCCTAGTATATAAGTGCTTCTATGTACATTAACTCTTCAACCTTTAATACCCTAAGGCAAATACCATTATTACTTTATTTTATTGATGAAGAAACTGAGGCACCAGGGACTATTATTACTTGTACAAGTTCATATCACTACAAAATAAAAGAGATCAGCTCAGGATGTCTATGATTTTATAAAACTTCCCAGTCTTCTGTTTTTAAAATTCTGCCTCTCTCCAGAGAGGAAAGAAAGAACAAAAGAAAAACAAATACCCTGTTTTCCAAAAATTAAAGCATAAAACTGCAGAATCTGATTGATATTTTTTTCTCACTAGAAAAAGATGCCACAGGCCAGAAGACTGGAATTTTTAGGATTCCCTTCCTAGCAATGAGTCTATGATAGACACAGATGGGTAGAAACACATCTCTGGGTATAACAGCTAGGACTTACGTTGTGTTTATCTTGTGTCAGTCTAGTATAAGTGCTGTTATGTACATTAATTCTTTACCCTTATTCCTCACCTTATGATCATAAACAACCTATGATATCCACACCACCAGGTGTACATAGAAGTAGCCCAAGTGAGGCTTAGTTGGAGAATTAACTAAAATTTGGGATGACTACATAAGTCTTTCTCAAAGAAACTAAGGCTCAAAACTCCTTTCAATTTGATTGGTAAGGCAAAAGATATAAAAGGTTGAGATCCAATGTTAGAAATAGCTGGGTACAATTAGGGGGATGAGTTCTAGTTTTCTACAGCACAGTAGGGTGATTATAGCTACAACAATTTATTTTTATTTTATGAAGAACTGGTACAGAGTTTGTGGGTTCCCAGCATAAAGAAATGATAAATTTTTAAGATGAAAGTGCTAACTGCTCTGTTCTTTCACGTTGTATACATACATTGAATCACTACCAAGTTGTACTCCATAATATATACAATTTAAAACATAAATTACTTTTTAAAGATACAAATGAGTATATAAACTCTTATCAAATTAATGTCACCTTTTCTCTCTTATTTGTAGGAGGTACATTTGAAGAACGCAAGTAGAGGGAGTGCAGGAAACAAGAACTACAGAATGTAGGAAGACCTTCCTGAGGAGTGAAGAAGGACATGTCACCGCAGGATCCTTGGCTCTGCGCGAGTTACCTGTGAAACATTGGAACACCTACCAAAAAAAAAAATAATAAGTTTAATAACACTTCAGAGATGGGCATTTTCCCCCAATGAAATACACAAGTACATAAGTAAACATCCCAACATTGTCTTTAGGAGTGATCGTTCAAAGCTTTGCATCTTGCAAAAATGGTCCTGGAGTTGGTAGATGACTGTTGATCCTTTATCAATAATGTTCTATAAAGAAATATACATATATATATATATATATATATATATATATATATATATATATCTTAGTCCCTGCCTCTCAAGATCCACAAATGCATGGGTGTTGTATAGATCCAGTTGCACTAAATTCCTCTCTGAATCTTGGCTGCTGGAGTCATTCATTCAGCAACCTTGTCTAAGTGGTTTATGAATTGTTTTCTTATTTGCACATCTTTCTACACGTCATAAACTGTTTTACAGTCTAACAGTCTTGTCTCCGTGTCACCTCCTGTCATAGCATTTGTATTTGCTAAATTTGGCCTCCGCAAAAGCAGTAGCCAGGAGTGGCCAAGGGGCCCACAAATTTTTAATCCACATGATTCCATTTGTGGCGTTTGTACCAAATATAAGTTGGATGCATTTATTTTAGACATGAATCTTTATTTTCCCACATCATACTACAAAAAAAAATGCAAATATTTGCAACTTGAGGCCAACCATTTTTAGATCTATGTTCAAAACATAGAAAGTCTCTTAAATGCTCAATCGTTCCTTCAAATGAGTTAGTGTACAACCTGATTAGTCACTTCTCTTTAATTTTTTCCATATAGAGCACTATGTAAATTTAGCATATCAGTAATACAGGATATATCAAACAGTATGTAAAACTCTGTTTTTTAGTACAATGGTGCTATTTTGTAGTTTGTTATATGAAAGAGTCTGGTCAAAATGGTAAAAGGTGAAAGCAAAACAAAAGGGAAAGCCTGGAGCCAAAGGGGGCAAAAGGGGAAGGAAACTGAAAAATCCATTTGGGAAAGAAGGCAAAATGTCCCTAACTATGCCTTCTGAGAGGAACTTAAGACGCAAAGTCCAGTGATGTAAAGTTGACCGGCAAGTCCAGAGAAGAGCCTTGAAATAGAAATAGCAGAAGGCTAGGAATTTTAACAATCCTGTTTTCTTTTTATCACTGAAGCAACAAACACCTGCCAGCTCTATCCTGGACTCGAACTGTGTGACCTTGGGCAAGTCATTTCACCTCTCTGTGCCTCAGTTTCCTCATCTGCAAAGTGGGGGCAATATGTCATCTACCTACCTCAAAGGGGTGGTATGAGGATTAAAAGATAACACTTCAGATTTTTACCCTGGGTTAAGAGGATACAACATCAGAGCCCTTGAATTGTTGGATGCAAGGAATTTTATAAGCAACATATTCACACAAATCATTGGTAGAGAAGCATTACCACCTAATATTCTAGTGCTTGTCAGTGAAGCTATCCAACTAACAATTGGATGACTAATTGCTAAAATTCACAGCTCAATCTCTTTTAGAAGACACATTTGACTTAACAATTTGATTTTAAATTCTGCATTTGAACTTAAGAATATGAAGATAAGTGAAAAGAGAGAAAAGAAAAGGAAAAAGTAGAAAAACAAAAAGATTTCTACCAGTGATAGGGTAGTTAGTTACTCTATTTGTTAATGCTCACTTATTCTTCCAGGCAGTTACTATCAATCTATTAAGACCTCTTTTAATATTATAAATGATACTCTATTCACTTTGAGAAATGCATTTTCCTTTTCTTTAGATAATAGAAATGACCCAAGATTTTAAATACTGAAATAATATCTAATTAGAAGTAATGAAGTTTCTTTTTTTAGTGGGCTTCACTTCTTATTCTTGGTTGTATATACATATACTAATTTTATTTTGTTAAGATATGCTAACAACAGTTGCAAAAATTTCCTTCACAACCCTGAAGTTTCCCTCATGGCCACTAAGAAGAGTGACCTGTAGCTTTCTGTGGATGTGTCTTATACATTCAACTGAACACTGGTATCAAGAAAATTCAGTGATGAAGACAAGTAATTCATGGTTACCTCACAAATGTTCCCCCTCTATGGATCAAGATTTTCTTTTTAGATCAATGAATTATCGAACATTTAAATCTTTTTATCTGCCTGAGAGTTTTTAGTGAAAAGCCAGCAGTTTGGTTATCTTATGCAAATTTTATCCTTTATATACTTGTGAAATGTTAATGAAAAATGAAATGACATCTTTAGTGTTCCTTCACTGAGTTGCCTCAAAGTTCAGAAAACAGGAAGGTTAAAAAAAGTGGCTTCTGGGATCTGGCTCTCTGAAGAGATGCAAAAAGAGGATCCCAGTCAATGGAGTGTGGCTGTTCAGCCTGCGAGCATCTTAATTCCCAGTCCTCAGTACTCCCTTTGAATGGAGCCCCTGATCACTATGAAGAGATGTAAAAGAATCACCCTCTGCCTCTTTTCCAGACATGTAGTGGAAGGAGATGCTGGACCCTCCCCCAAGATGGCACTTCTGAATTTTATTTCATGCTTCCAATGTATACCTTTTTAAATTGCTGACTCCCAGAAAAACTTTATAACCTTCCACAGAATTATGGGTTTCCTGACATAGTTGGGTATGGCAATTCTGAGTGTCTATGGTCTGTTTTATTCATTTATTATGCACAAAAGCTTAAATAGGAAATACCATGTTATTTTTTAACCATTTTTCAATCAAAATCCTCTTCAACTAAATCATAAATCAACTAATAAAAATTAATTGTACTAACACACCATTTTACTTTCAAATGAATTAACACTAGAAGACAAATCTGCATAAACTCTGGAAGTCAACTGATAATCCAATGTCACAGGAGAATGACCCAGGATTGATAGAAGGAAGAACCCTAAACTTTAACTCAAAGCTTTGTAAGCTTTGCTATGGCGTTACATTGCTTTAGAACTTAGAAACAAGGCAAGAGAACAGCAACCATTGGTGAGCGTGAGCTTTCACCTAGTAAGACTTCATTTCCAATTTAATTAACAAATATTCAGTACCTATATCAAATTTTGATCCCAGTTCCCCAAATAGTATAAAGCATTATTTGAACATCTTAAGATGAGGTGTTACTCTGAAAAAGTTAATGCATTTTTCCATCAGAATCTGCCCTTCTAGGGTAAAAGAAAAACTCTCTCCACACCCACCCCCCCACACACACCCTCATATACCTACTCACACTGAGTCCAATGGAATATTGAAAAGAAAACACTTCCTTTAAAAATATGGTTTAAAATAAAACAACAAAAAAGCCAGGCCTCCTTTGAGAATCCTCCCCTCCTTGGAATGTCAATGCTTGTGTAGATCAAACTGTCTAGTGCCCTGTGGCTCCAGGGTTTCTCTTACTAGTTTATGCAATTGGGAGAATACTAGACATGAAAGATGTAGCATATTTTGCTTTCCCATTTATTGTTTGGCCGGCTATGCCAATGTGGTGCTATTGTTTCTTTAAGAAAGTACTTGACTAAAAAAAAAGAAAAGAAAAAAAAAGAAAGCATAGACATATTTTTTTAAAGTATGAAAACAACAATTCTATAGATAGATGGCTTAGTAAAATAGCATTAGATCTAGTCACCATCACCTTTCAACTTTTTATCACTTACAAGTAGAATATTGTTCACCAAATTGTGAGTTTGGGGGTTCAGGGACAGAAGATGGATTTTTTTTTTTTAATTAGAAGGCTCCATTATTTTGTTGGCTCTCAAGCTGAACAAAATTAGCAATATATTTTCCAATCTGAACACTTTAATGAAGAATTTGGAGTAAAAATGGAGGGAAGATCTTATAAGCAAATAGCAAAACTAAAAAGAGGATTTGTGTGTGTGTGTGTGTGTGTGTGTGCGTGCGCGTGTATGCGTGCGCGTGTGCTTGCGCTCTGCTCTAAAACACTTTTTCAGCAAGAGGAGAAAATAAAAACAAAAAGAAAAAATACATAGGTTCACCTACTACTAAAAATACCTTCTGCTGCATCCTCCTTGAGCGTTCTTTGGTGTTGACTACCACTTTGTAGAAGACATTCTCCCTCCACATGCATACACACACACATCTCAAAGAGCAGTCACTCTCAAAAAAAAAAACAATCACAAATCTCATTGGGACATGCTGGAAAGTATTTCCTCATGAGATGGGGGTTATCTACTAACAAAAAAGAGAACTTACAAGAAATTGTTGAAAGAGATGGCTAACAATCTGTGAAGATTTTTTGGTTTTTTGTTTTTGGGTTTTTGCTTTTTCTTTATATAGTCTTTAAGAATATCTTAATGTTCAAAATAACTTGGTCCTTTTCTTCTTTTTTCATATTGGAATGAAGGATGATAAATTAATCCCACATAGACTCTTTAAACTATAGTCTAGATAGAAATGTATGTTTGACTTACTGAATCAGACTATTTAAAATGTTTTTCTATTTTCAATCTTAAAAGATTGTCCTAATTTATTAGAGTAGAACCTGTTTGGCTCTCCTCATAGAAAGAGCATTCCCATTTAAATCACATGGGCTTTCCCACCAATGTTTTCAAAAGATATATCTGACTTCTGCTATGGCATCATTTACTTTACAATACAATAGAGAATTGTGAATATGCCCTTCCCCTGCAATGATCATAAAGCAAAAACGAAAAGAAATTTTGTTGATTCTTTGGGGTTTTTTTGTTTTGTTTTCAATGCTAGTGTTTAATCCAATAGTATATATTTGCTTGTGGCTATTTTAATATTCTATAAGATTTTCCTGTTAGGTATTAGAAAATGATACATAGATATGTTTTTGTGTGATTTCTATTTAAAAAAAGGAAACAAAAAGACTGTCTGAAGCTTTAAGTACACACGGTACAGGATAAAAGTATCAACTGAAATCAGCAAATCTTATCTGGAACAAAACTCTCACAGGTAAGACAGAGACCCAGGGGATTTTTGAAAACATCTTTATTCCTCCAAGTCCTTATTTTTTTTTTTTTAAATATCCGCTTCAGAATTTTATAGAGGGCTGAACAAGGCTGAAACCCTA